TCTATACGAGAATTGCAAACGATGTCCCATCTTGTAGGGCGTGAGTAGGGATGGTTACAGGTTGGGTTTGGGATGGGTTTGTCGTAATGTATCCTGTCCTATCTCATATCGGGTGCATGGAAAATCGGGAGTGGTGGTAGTTGCGTGGGGGACGGGTTTTTTAAATAAGTTAAAAAATAAAAATAATACTATATTATGGATAATAATTCATACTTAATAAGAATTATAACAAATAAGATAGAAAATAAATGATTAAAATGAATATTAAGTATAATATTCTAGTGTTTTAATTTGATTATAATGAAAAAAAATTTATATATTATATATATAAATATATTTAATAAATATAATCGGGGCGGAGTCAGGTAGAATGGAGGTGGGGGAAGCAAAATTCGTCTTCGCCCCACTTCCTCAATGGAGTGGGGAAAACCCATGCAGGGTGGGACAGGGGATCCAGATGCGACTGCAGATGTGGGGCGGGGCAGAGAAAAATGCCCATCCCTACACAAGTGATGATACTTTGTCAATTTGTTCCTATTGGTGAAATAAGATGACCCGACGTCAATTGTAAAACCATTACCACTTGTATCATCCCTCTTGATAACAATTACAAAATCATTCTTCCTTTTTATGTCATAAACCCACCAAATTAATGTTTCTCGACTCTTGAATATCTACATTTAAGAAAAAAAAATAATAACTAATATTTATAGTGATAATGCACATTACAATTACTAATTTTATGTATGTAATATGCCTCATGAGTGACAAATTCACTAGTAAAATCCATTACACATTATGTTGAAGCCTTATTACAACATGTAAAAATATCACCATAAAACATAGACTGAACAGATAGAAAATTTAAAAGAATAAAAACACAGAGCTGAATATTTTAATTTTCTTTGGATACTTTTTTTTTGGGGTAAATAAGTCATAAATTAAAAAGATAAGAGGTTACACTAATACAAGGGGCATGCCCCAAGCCCTAATAGAAAGCTATACAAAAATTGCCAACATAGCAAAAACGAAACAATACTGCCCATTTGTTCAGTACTACCAATACTGCAAAAAATTGCCACCGCTAAAAGATTAGACTATGTATTCACTTGTTCATATCCGCGATGGCAATTAATACAAAAATGTCCATCTGTTCAGATTAAAAGATTTTAATATGTTCAGGAATCTCATACAAAATGTATGTTGAACATGAACGTATTTTGCCTCCGTTTGGGAAGTGGGTTGGCTTTTTGGCTTTTTGGCTTTTTTGGCTATTTTAGCCTGGGCTTAAAAGCTTGGTTTGGGAAGGGCTTTTTGACTTTTTGGCTTTTTTGGGTTTTTTTGTGAGAGAAAAATGTAATGATTATGGGTTGGATGTGATGTTTTGTTTGTTATGGCTAAAATAGCCTATTTTGTTTTTTGTGGCTAAAATAGCCAAAAAAGCCTCCAACCCACCTTCCCAAACGGTGCTTTATGTTCTCTACCACCCAAAACAAAGATAAACACAGTATAGGAGCAATCCCTAGCATAGCCCGCAAGGGTAGGCCAAAAGAGGTCCTATATGGACAGAAACTAGCACTAGACAAATATATACAAATCAGAGTAAAACTTTCTTTACACTTTAGGTGCTTCTAGCAGCCATTTGTACTTGCAGCTTCCTTCTAACAAGGTGCACCCAACTACCTTTGATTCTAGCAGCTCTAGTGCCTAGCTTTCTTCCACATCATGTTAATAAAACCTATCCAATATAGGATATTACCTAAGAACACCTCAAGTAGACAAGGTTGTATTACCATATGCAGTTTTTCCAAATCACAATTACCAACACAAATAACATATATACTCAATACTGAACAAATTCAACTTTTTTTGAAAACTTGGAGATATAATACCAAATAATTCTTTTTATTCGAAATTGAAGTATGAAGAAGTTAGAAAATTAAATGTTCAAAAAAATAAAGTCAAATATAGACAATTTGTTCGGATATTAAATACTAAACAATGACCATTATTTCGGAAACACACTACCAAATATATGAATTTTGTCTAGAAACAAGTTTTTGAATAAATGTAATTTATTCAATATTGAATTTTCGAATCAATTCTTTAAACCAAACAATGACAAACAATAAACATCAAATAAAACTTGCTTTATCAATAGAAAACTACTTGGAAACATCTTATTTGTTGTCTATTGTTGATTTCAATATGAAATAGAATGCAAGAATAATAGATTCAAGCAAATAGGATTAGTTATGAATATGCAAAGTGAAAAGAGTAAAAAGAGAAGCTAGAGAAAAGAAATACTAGAACTAATGATGAATGGGGTGTCCAAAATACTTTGATTTAAACTTTTTTCAATGACAAGTACTTTTTGGTCATTCAAAATAGGGATTTAATGGTAATAAATTTTTTTTTTATTAAATTGGGGTACCCAACGTAATTTTTGGGTGCAAATATAGCGACCAAAGGATTACACTATAAGCACGTTTGTTTAGAAGGATAAGGATATGAGATAGGACTTCATGTCTGGTGGATGGAGTAGTCCATTGTTTGATTCAAAATTTTGCATTGGACTATTAGTCGGGAAATTCTATTTCCACACACTATTTTCTCTCTTTCCATATCTTTTTTCAATACACACACTAAATAAATTTAAATTATCAACTTTCACTCAATACACATCCTATCATACCAAAAATACCCTTACCATCTTCATTCTCCAAATCCTAACCCTAACAAGCCACCACCGCTGTTACCGCCGCCGTTACCGCCGCCGACGGCATCTCTTCCCCTCTAAAGGTCACTAATCGACCCCTTGCTGGAACTATTAGGAGAGGGAAGACACCTAAAGATCCGTTTGGGAAGTGGGCTAACTTTTTGGCTTTTTAGCTTTTTTGGCTATTTTAGCCTGGGCTAAAAGCTTGGTTTGAGAAGGGCTTTTTGGCTTTTTGGCTTTTTTGACTTTTTTTGTGAGAGAAGAGTGTAATGATTATGGGTTGGATGTGATGTTTTGTTTGTTATGGCTAAAATAGCCTATTTTGTTTTTTGTAGTTAAAATAGCCAAAAAAGCCTGAAAAAGCCCTTGCCAAACACAGGCATAAATATGTTGGAAAAACAACTTCTGCATGATGAAAAGCAATGCGTAGAGCACATTATGCTTGTTGACTTGGGAAGGAATGATGTCAGAAAGGTTTACACTCCCTTTTACTAAATTATGTTGGTATAAATCTGCATTTTCCAAAAAGTCCCAAGTATAGAGTTCATACACAATGTTTGACCTGAATTTCTGTGTAAACCTGTTCTTAAATGGATGAAATATCTTGCCAACTAGATATGAAGGGTGTCCTGGAGTGAATATCCTAAACAGAGCTCTCAACATTTGCACTATTTTGTTGCTTTTCTGATAGATCTATTTTTTGAAACTTTGGATTTGAATTAAATTTTTTTAGTTTTTGTTGATCTTGGTTGGTATAATTATGAGAGGCAAGGTCACTATTTGATAAATGGGTTGACAGTGGTAGGGAAGAGGCGACGAGAACAGTGGAGAAATGGAGAGGTAGCGGCCATGGATGGTGATGGTGATGGTGATGGTGATGGTGATGGTGATGGTGATGGTGATGGTGATGGTGATGGTGATGGTGATGGTGATGGTGATGGTGATGGTGATGGTGATGGTGATGGTGATGGTGATGGTGATGGTGATGGTGATGGTGATGGTGATGGTGATGGTGATGGTGATGGTGATGGTGATGGTGATGGTGATGGTGATGGTGATGGTGATGGTGATGGTGATGGTGATGGTGATGGTGATGGTGATGGTGATGGTGATGGTGATGGTGATGGTGATGGTGATGGTGATGGTGATGGTGATGGTGATGGTGATGGTGATGGTGATGGTGATGGTGATGGTGATGGTGATGGTGATGGTGATGGTGATGGTGATGGTGATGGTGATGGTGATGGTGATGGTGATGGTGATGGTGATGGTGATGGTGATGGTGATGGTGATGGTGATGGTGATGGTGATGGTGATGGTGATGGTGATGGTGATGGTGATGGTGATGGTGATGGTGATGGTGATGGTGATGGTGATGGTGATGGTGATGGTGATGGTGATGGTGATGGTGATGGTGATGGTGATGGTGATGGTGATGGTGATGGTGATGGTGATGGTGATGGTGATGGTGATGGTGATGGTGATGGTGATGGTGATGGTGATGGTGATGGTGATGGTGATGGTGATGGTGATGGTGATGGTGATGGTGATGGTGATGGTGATGGTGATGGTGATGGTGATGGTGATGGTGATGGTGATGGTGATGGTGATGGTGATGGTGATGGTGATGGTGATGGTGATGGTGATGGTGATGGTGATGGTGATGGTGATGGTGATGGTGATGGTGATGGTGATGGTGATGGTGATGGTGATGGTGATGGTGATGGTGATGGTGATGGTGATGGTGATGGTGATGGTGATGGTGATGGTGATGGTGATGGTGTGCAGCCGTAATTGTTAACTTTTGATGAATAGTGTTAACTTTTTAACTTTTTAAATAACTTTTTGACTTTTTAACTTTTTTTGAATATCCCAAACTTGACCTTAGTCCCCAATTTTTTGCCTTTATTTATTTATTTATTTAATCCCCCATAACAATATTAAAATTATTCAGAGTTTAATATTTAAAGCCCAAATGTTCTCCACCCCTTGTCTCATTGCCTATTTCACAAATAAACAACACAAAACAGTTATGTAGGGCCCAATTATCTATCACTCCTTTTTTGGGTGGGTAAATCTCTATCTATCACTTCGCATCTCGCGAGCGGATCCTCTAGAGTTAATCCTCTAGAGTGATCTCCTAAATTGCCTGATCGGACGGCTGAGAGTAATACTCACCAAAACAACATCGTTTTGGTGAGTATTTTCCAAAAAAATAAAATAAAATAAAATTATTCAGATTTAGGGATTTCAAAACAACGAACCTGTGGAAATGCAAAAGTAATGTTCCTTCATCTCTATATCAAGGATTACTGAACTTTCTCTCTGTAGATTATTAATTAATCTTTGAAGTTTTGTTCATCAGCTGAATCTCCTGCATTAATGGCGACTCTTGATGGAATCTAACAGATTAACGCTAGTCCTCGAAACCTCAAATTAGTCAGACGAAGTCACAGCGATCGAAGTTTCTGGAATTTTTCTTCTTCCTGATTTTGGCGTACTCTCTAACTTGTAATGAAGCTCGATCGGGACTGTACAAGATTCGGTTATTCTCAACGCAAAATTGTACTATATTCGTAGTTTTCTCACTCTCTCCTGAGTGAGTTTGAGTAGTCAATGGACGAACTGTACAGGCTTCATTCTTCAATTTCGTTCTCAGATCATGATCATGATGTTAGCGGAGTCGGAGATTTTCCGACGACTTTGAGTGGACTTCACGGCCCCGTTGACAACATGCTTCAATTCGAGGCCACCGAAATCGAGGTCGGCGGATCGGAGTTGTCCGATCTCATCAAGGCTCAGATCGCAAACCATCCTCTCTATCCAAACCTAGTCTCTGCGTATATTGAATGTCGAAAGGTCGTCGTCATCATCATCATCATCATGTATCGATACATTAATTGTACATGTACTACTCCATATACATACATAAATACATATATATGCACGTGTATGTGTGTGTATACTATACCTATGATATATATATGTACACTTTGTTTTCATTGCTGCTCAAGCTCTTTGATCTTTGTTTTCTCTACGTTTTATATATCGTCACAGGTTGGAGCACCACCAGAGATGGCTTCACTTCTTGAAGAAATCAGCAAAGAGAATCATCCAATCAACAGTCGTAGTGACATCGGAGCCGATCCTGAACTCGATGAATTCATGGTGAACTCTCTCTCTCTCTCTATATATATATATTAACGATTTTTGTGATTTTGAACGGTTTGATAAATGAAGATGAGTTGAATTTGAAATTTACAACTAACAATTTGAAAGGTATTTTTGTAACATAAATAAAAAGCGTGATGAAATTGCATTTGAATGCTTTTTTGGCTAATTTTTGATTTTTTTTGTTTTTTTTGGGTGAAGGAATCGTATTGTGAGGTTCTACATAGATACAAACAGGAGCTTTCAAAGCCGTTTGATGAAGCGACGACGTTCTTGAGCGACATCGAGTTACAGCTCAGTAATCTCTGCAAGGAGACACTGACGACGACGACGACGTTTGCCTCCGCTAACTATCATTCTGGTAAGAAGTTGCACTCACTGCGCATTTTATCATTTTTCTTGCTTAACCTACCTATCCACTTCCGGTGTTAAAAGTCGAATAATAAAATTATAATACATTTCGGTTGAGGAGACGACGGTTGAAACAGTGGAAATCCCTAAATTGAGCCCGGTGAGCTGTACCCACACTTCCGACTGTCCTTTCTTCCTAGCGGGGAATATTGGTGTACCCTAATGCACTGGTCACTCACTGATGTGACTTTCAATAGCTGTGTAGTCTTTTCAAAGTTTTTTTTTTTTTTTTTTTTCATTCACAAGCTCACAGCTGTGTCTTTCAATGTTTGCTTTTTCGTTTTCGTTTTTGTTTTTGTTTTTGTTTTTTTGTTTGTTTTTTCCTCTCTTTCAATTCTTGTTAGTATTTTATTTTGATGGACACGTACTTCAATTATGTTTTGGGATGCTATTAATATAATATGATGCTTTTGCTTCATTAAACTATTAGTATAACATATGGAAGCGTATGTGCATGAGTAAACTGATGTGTTCTGATTCCTTGGAACTCAGCACTATCTAGCCAGGTATCCCACTCCCTTTTTAATCTCTCTCTCTCTATGTATAAATGTGTGTGTGTGTGTGTATCCCCCTTTATTTTGGCTGGGTATTCTTAGGTTTGTCAGTTACATATTCTTGGAACTTGAAATTTTAAAGGCGAAGAGCATCATTACAATCATGTTTTGTATCATACGAGAGGGATTATAATGCAATAGCCAATAGTCCTGCCATTTATTTATGAGTTGTTGGGAAGTGTTAGATTAGTATACTTTTTAATTTTTATGGGTTGTGTTTGAAATTATATGATAAATAGGTAATGTGACTCAAATAAGATAATATGTTAAAATAACATGTATTATTTTAACACATGTCAAACAAGCACTTAATAACTCTTAGAAATAGTGTGTATCTCATATTTGTTTATCACAGGATTAAATATTTAGAAATAACTATTTTAGTGAATCTTATATTTGATTTGAAAATTATGAAGTATATTATTTAAATTATTTATAATGGCAATACTAAATTTGAACTATATTTTATTTTATTTAGAGTACATTTTATTTTATTTGAAATATATTTTATTTTATTTTACAAAGACCACTTTTAATTTTATTTAAATACGAAATTAGAAGTATATTTTCATTTATGATTTTGTTAATACAAAAAAGAAAAAAAAAAAAGAGTAAAGAGAAGACTATTATATAATGAGATTAATTTACACATGTTTAAAAGATTAAAAAAAATGAAAGAAATAAATTTTATATATACTTGAGGGTTAATGTCATCATTTAATCCCGAGGTTGGCTCAGTCCACCCATTTTTGTCCCCATAGGATTGAGTTATCCCACATATGGGGATTAACTTTTGATATGTTTTCAATCTAAACCATTGGAAAATAAATATTTTAGTCATTAAACTTAATGGCATAGGGTATTTTAGAAATTTTATGTATATCTACATTGAGTTTAATGATTAAAGTATTCTTTTTTCAATCGGTTTTACTTAACAAAAATAGACGAATGATTTACATTGAAGACAATCAAAATATTGGAGTTTAAATTAACAAAATTGAAAATTCATGGTTTATTTTGTTAGAACTTAGAAGGCTCAAAACTTAAGGTGTTTTTTTTTTTTTTTTTTTTTGTTACTGTCCCAAAAATTTTTTAGGTGCCATTTCATTTGTTAGTTGATATTTTCCATATTATCTTTTCAAATAAAGGTTCATATAATTTAAATATATTATTATTAATTTAGAGCACTGCCTGAACTTGCTCCGTCAGTATTGAATAATTTCGCTTGCCATGGATATATACATTAATGATAGGGGGAGTTGTTACCATAGTTATCCTGACTTGGTGTTCAAGTTAGGAAAAATGTTTTTAAAGGCGAAAGCGCAAGGCGAGGCGTTGAGGCGTAAGCCTTTTGAATTTTGAATTTTTATGAAATACAAAATTCATTAAATATAACATAAAAAGAGAAGGAAAAAAAAAAACGAATTACCAAATAAAATTCTTAAAAGCCATTCTAAGCATAAAACTAAAATTAATTAATAATTTCAAGTATTATAAGAGCTTTCTAAGTCATTCTCATTAATATTATAATAAAAAAATAACTTAAGTGATGGTTAAAATAACTTAAATTTTAATTGTTCAATAAACAAAATAACTTACCCTAATACTCTATACACAAAGCAATAAATAAATAATAGGTCACTCTAGTCATCCTCATTAATATTGTCATCATCTTCGTCCGCTATGTCTATAATGGGATAGGTTCCATCATCTATTCCACCAACTTCTTCCAACTCCATATCTTCATCGACAAGGGTGCATTTTGTTGCTTTGCCTTTTCCTCTATCATTTCCTATATAAGAAATAGGATTTCAAATTAATTAAATAGTCACATATAATAATATATATACAACTAGTCCATAATTGTTTAACAACTTACTTAAACCTTCACTAACTTTTCTTTTCTTGACATTTGAAGATGAGTCAACATTAATTGTAGTCGTAGTTGATCGATTCTCCGCACTTCTATCATAGGTAGTGATAGGCACAGTCTTAATTGCTTCAGCATCAAACAATTCTTCTTCATCAAGCTAAGAAGCATCAAGGAGGAGGACAGGATCTTCTTTTTCAACAATCCATTCATCATCCATCAATTTCATCAAATAGTATTGGATCGATGTTTTGTCTTCTTTTGATACTCCTCTCTCGTAGTTTAGTGTTGTACTTCACATAGACCAAAGCATTCAAATGCTTGTGCTCAAGCCTATTCCTCTTTTTTGTATGAATCTAATATAATAATATAAGAAACGAAATATAGTAAGTTAGAAACATGAATATTTTATTTTATGCATAAGAAAGTTTATGAAAGAAAGATACATTACCGACTCAAAGGTGCTCTAATTCCTCTCACATCTCGAAGCACTACAAGTTAGACTAAATATTCGAATAGCAATTTTTGTTAACTTTGGTGTTTTGCTCCCAAAATGAATCCACCAATTAGCTACATAATTTGAAAAATGCACGAATGATTTCAATCTCGTATTTTAATTTTAAAGAATGTAATTGAAAAATTATTTTCATATTGCTCTGGAATCATTTGCAACACGACTTCCGAATTCTCCTTTTGCTTGGTCATAATAATCCAATTGGACATCAGCCATGAGACGCTCATCATAACTCAACATTCTATCCATGCACTCATACAATCCTTGCCTCACCTTCTCAACATTGGAGAAGGTATCTCGATAGCGCAACTGAAGGTTTGGATAATAACCGGCAACATGTAAAGGTGTATGAAGTTGTGGTGTCCACCTTGCATCTATCTTATTCCAAATTGGTCCGTACTTCCTAACATTTCCTCCACAATTGAAAGCAATCTTTTCTTTAGCCAAATTCATCAACTCATAAATGTGACCCATAGTAGGCCTCTCCTCTAAATTAACTTCTCGCAAAACACTAACCAAAGGTATTGTGCTTTTGCTACAAAAAGCAACATTAGGCCAAAATTTTGGATCAAACAACACAGTTGCACGAGCCTTTACCCTTTCAACTTTTCTTGCCCAACTACTAGAAGCCCACTTTTCTGAAGAAAACATAGCTTGGAGTGGTTGCTTTTGTTTGTAAAGACTTTGGAGAGTAAGATAAGCAGTGGCAAACCGTGTTACTGTTGGACGGAGTAGTTCACTGTGCTTTGTAAATGATCTTATCATTGAAAGAACCCAACAATGTCCATATATAAACTTGACCACTTGCCTAGCTAATGAGAGAGTTTGGTCACAGACTTTCAATTTTCCAATGTCCTCCAACATTAAATCGATACAATGTGTAGCACATGGAGTCTAATACAATTTCTTCCTCTTCTCTATAAGTCTCGACCCGGCATTGACATAGTTTGAAGCATTATCAGTAATAACTTGAACAACATTATCTTCCCCAATTTCATCTACGACACTATCAAGATAGTTAAACATCAACTCCCCATTTTGTGCTCAAGCCTATTCCTCTTTTTTGTATGAATCTAATATAATAATATAAGAAACGAAATATAGTAAGTTAGAAACATGAATATTTTATTTTATGCATAAGAAAGTTTAGGAAAGAAAGATACATTACCGACTCAAAGGTGCTCTAATTCCTCTCACATCTCGAAGCACTACAAGTTAGACTAAGTATTCGAATAGCAATTTTTGTTAACTTTGGTGTTTTGCTCCCAAAATGAATCCACCAATTAGCTACATAATTTGAAAAATGCACAAATGATTTCAATCTCATATTTTAATTTTAAAGAATGTAATTGAAAAATTATTTTCATATCGCTCTGGAATCATTTGCAACATGACTTCCGAATTCTCCTTTTGCTTGGTCATAATAATCCAATTGGATTTCAGCCATGAGACGCTCATCATAACTCAACATTCTATCCATACAATCCTTGCCTCACCTTCTCAACATTGGAGAAGGTATCTCGATAGCGCAACTGAAGGTTTAGATAATAACCAGCAGCATGTAAAGGTGTATGAAGTTGTGGTGTCCACCTTGCATCTATCTTATTCCAAATTGGTCCGTACTTCCTAACATTCCCTCCACAATTGAAAGCAATCTTTTCTTTAGCCAAATTCATCAACTCATAAATGTAACCCATAGCAGGCCTCTCCTCTAAATCAACTTCTCGCAAAACACTAACCAAAGGTATTGTGCTTTTGATACAAAAAGCAACATTAGGCCAAAATTTTGGATCAAACAACACAGTTGCACGAGCCTTTACCCTTTCAACTTTTCTTGCCCAACTACTAGAAGCCCACTTTTCTGAAGAAAACATAGCTTGGAGTGGTTGCTTTTGTTTGTAAAGACTTTGGAGAGTAAGATAAGCAGTGGCAAACCGTGTTACTGTTGGACGGAGTAGTTCACTCTTATCATTGAAAGAACCCAACAATGCCCATATATAAACTTGACCACT